TTCCGTACCGGTCTCTGGGCACCATGAGATCAGGGGCAAGTCTGCTTACCCTTGTATTCCCAGGCCCATACCCAGTGCCTGGCACATGAACAGGTTCTCACAGAACATTCTTTGAATGAATTTCGGAGACATAGACACTGAATGGGAAACACAAATAACTGTGAATCGGTTTTTTTTTTTTAAAGGTCAATACGTTTGAGACTGAAGTTATTCTGGAAACTTGAGACAAGGTTATTCATAAAAATCAACACATAATGGATGGGATTATTTGGGCACAGTTCAAAAAAGAAGTCCTAACAGCTTGTCAAAATCACAGAGGAAGGGCAGAGTGGGTTCTGGAACCTGGTGTATATGCTCAGAAGTCAGAGAGATAGGGAGAGACAGTCAAGGAGCAGCAGGGTCCTGGGCAACTAGCTGGGTCCAGCGCTGTCCCGAGAGACTGGTATGTAACGTGGGGCTGTCAGACCACGTGAACGGGCACATTTAAAGGGGACCCAAGATGGGACGGTCCCATCAAGCAACCACAAAAGATGATGTGTAAACGTGCCAGCAGTGGGGAGTTAGGAGCCACCCAAATCTGTAAGTGGAGAGCAGGAACGGCAGTCAGTCTGTGGTCTGCCTGCTGAAAATGCAAGGCAGCTACAAGAAAGGGAGGGCTGAGGGTCAGCAGTTCCCACTCCCTGTTTGTTGGGTGGAGGACTGGTGTCCAGCTCGCTCATAGTTGGCAGCTGACCCCGTCCCTGGAGGCCATCCACACCCCGGTGCTCTGGCCTCATGTCCCCCAAGCAACCTCTGATCACAGACTGGCCTTACACACATCCTCCCCTGCTGGAGAGGAGAGAAAAAAACTGGCCAACTGTGGGAGGCAGGATAATAGCTCCCCAAAGACGTTCACCTCTGAATCCCTGGAACTTGTACGTATGTTACCTCACACGGCAAAAGAGGCTCTGCATGTGATTAATGAGAATCTTGAGATGAGGATATGATCCTGAGCTACCTGGACAAGCCAAATGTTCTCCCAAGGAAGAGTCAGTAGCAAGATTCAGAGAGAGAGACTGGAAGAGGTGAGGCTGCTGGCTTTGAAGACAGACAGACGAGGAGGCGAAGAATGAGGTAGGTGTCTAGAAGCTGGAAAAGCCAAGGAAATAGATTTCCCTCTAGAGCCTCCAGAAGTAGCTGTCCCCTTGCTTTTTAGACCAGTGAAACAGATTTCAGACTTCTGACTTCCAGAACTATAAGAAAATAAATATGTGTTGTTTGAAGCCACTAAGTTTGTGGTAAGTTGTTACATCAACAATAGGAAACTAATATACCAACTAACATGAATATCTGGTCAACAGGTTTGTACCTAGACTGTACATGGGTCTGAGTTTACCTGTTTTCATTCAGTTCCCCTGGGCCAGATAACTGCTAGGGCCGTAGACCAATCCAATTTCCTGATCTGCTGGGAATCAGTGTGGCTGACCTCAACTTCCCCAAGGTCGCCCCTCCCTGGGAAACCTGGCCTGGTCTGAGGAACCACTGGCTCTTCTTTATAAAGACCATACTAGTCACTGATAGTTACTCATTTTGTGTGCACTGTTAGGTGAGCTCTGAGGAATAGAGTGTAGACTTTGGCACCAGAGAGGCCTGAGTTTGAATCCTTCTCTATGCCACTCCATAGTCACATGATCGAAAGCAAATTATTTAACTTCCTTCAGTCATGGTTTCCTAACCTGCAAAATTGAGATGACCTCTTCCTAGGTTTAGTGTCGTGGCTTGATAATGTTTGTCTAATACAAATCACCGGGTCAAGGCCAGGGTAAATATCCACCTAGGCTTCCCCCTCCTCCTTGACCTCACCCCCATGAGTCTCCCCTGTGCTCACCTCTCTTTATGTGGGACTCTTCAGCTTTGTCCTCTGTAGCTTTGTAAGCCCCATGGTGGCCCTGTCTTTTGTTAGTCCCCAACTACAAATCAATGACCTCAGTGATCACACTCCCAGTGGCCTGATTGATGTCTTATTTGGGCTTCCCCCAGAAGTAGCACCTGCAGCAAGGATCCCAGGACAGGTGGTTTGTCTGGAGATGGTCCCAGGAAACACCACTGGAGGGCTGAGCTGGGGAGGAAGTACGCGTGCTCATGCAAGCCACCACTGCACCCATCTGGAGCTTAACCCCTACCCCGGGGGATCTCTGGGAGACAGTTAACCCATCCCAGGAGCAAGGGAGCTGAGGCAAACACCTAGTCCCATCAATATTTTTTTTTTTTTGCAGTGGCTATGGCAATAATTCCCTGACACCTTCTGCCTGCTGCACTCACAAGTAGGACAGGCTCTGGTACCAGAGTCCTCAGCCACAAGGATGCAGATGCGAGCCGCTGGAAAGAGCAGCCTGGAAATGCAGACAGGACCTCAATAGCTTCTGCCTCACCTGAGAAGCATCTTCAAATGCATGGCCTTCCTAGTCACTGCTTCCACTCTGGCCTTTCCTTGACCACCAGTGAGCCAACATGTCTACTGCATTGTTCTGCACTAACCACATCCTAACTTCTGGCAGGCTCTTCCAATATGCAAACTGATAAACATCCAGATAATCAATAAAGTCTGGATAATAGGAGGGTCACCATATTAAATGCCTGCTGATCATAGGTCAGATAAAGCACAGAGGAGGAGTTTCAATTGTGCTGAGACTGAAAAGCCAACTCTGACACACTAGATGCTGTTTATTATTAAGCAAAATGTATTGAGTGCCTACTAGGTAGAGTGCACCGTGCTGGGAGCTATGAGGCACTCAGACAAGCCTGAGAAGGTTTCAGAAAGAATTTCCCTTCCCTAAAACAACTCTGAACCTATTCCAGCTTCCACTATTAGAGTTTATTTTGTTGTCATATGTCATCCTCGTATGCAATGAACCTCTCGCTAGGAGCATTCAAAGTCTTGACCCGTATGGTGAGAGAACTCCTGCTGGTGTACAAATAGAGACCCAGAGGGGAAATGGATTCGCCTGAAGTGACCCAACTCACAGGTGGTAAAGCTGACCTGAAATCCTTTCCTTTAACCCTCTTGTCTGCTTTCTTCACATTTTTAACTATCACCTGACCCGCACACTTGGGGGTGAGTTAAGTAAGGGCTGGGCCCTGAAATAGCTTTCTAAGAGCATGCGCTGGAAAAGGGGATTCACCAGCAGCCCCCACTCTCCACTTTGCAGTGTGGTCTTTGCATCAGCAGGCACAGCAGACGTTCTGCTGCCTAAACTGCTCTGAAAACCCTCCAAGCTCAGCACCGCTACTCCCCTGACCACTGTATCAAAATCCAGTGGGAAATCATTGAAAAAAGTCACTCTTGGACCCCCCCCCCCAACAGACCTGCTGAATCAGAACTCATCTCTGTGGCTTGGGCCAAGGAAACCACACTTGTAACAAGCCTTCCACTTGTTTTAGATTACACCAAAGCTTGAGAATCACCGGTCTATAGGCTGAAGCCCAGTATCCTCAGTGTGGCTTCTAAGGCCTGTACCATCTGGCCCTGCCTACCTTCTGGCCTCATCTCCAACAGCAGGGTTGTACAACTCCCTGTTCTAGAAACAGGCCTTGTGTTGCCAAGCCTCTGCATCTTTGTTACTGTTTTTCCAGCCCTGTTTGCCTTTCCTTCACCAGTTCTATGGGGTGAACTCCTGTTTCTCCTCCATGGCCCTCCTGAAATGGCCCTCCCTCCCTGTCACTCTCCTTAACTCCTTCCCTAGGGAGGCTCGCCTGTTCTCTCCTTCCTTCTCATGGCTGTTGATATCTGCCTCTATTAGAGCACTTACCTTCGTGTATTAATGAATTCTAAACCTGTACCTCGGTCCAGAGCTGCTGGGATCACACGTTGCTCCGTGCATGTTAGAAAAAGTCACCCCTTCCTCCCAAGCCAGACACATGGCTTGGAAATAGGAGCACAGACTGGATCTCAGCCCACTCACCCCTCCGCAGGCTCCCTTGGGCAGGGGCTGTCCACCTGGCTTGTTTGCTAACTGGGAACTCCAGAGGGTCTGCTGGAACTTGTTCATGTTTGTATATCCCAAGCATAGAGGTCTGGCCCACAGTGACTCTGTAAAAGGTTTTATATGCCGAAGTGAATTGAATGCAGCCTGTGAGCATAGGCAAGGTTGCTCCACATGAGTCATCAAATACTATGAATGCAGAGGGCCTCAGACCAGCACAGGCAGGATGAATAATGTCATCTGTTCTGTTCCCCATGGAGTCTGGATATTTTAACATCTGCCGCTGGAAATTGTTTAGAGCTGTGAGATGAAAATAGCCTACAGTGGTCTGTTATCTCTTTCTTCGCTATTTGGACCTAAGATCCTTTCCCACTTACCCAGGAGGTAAATGTCAGAGGCTACTTGTTATTAAGGCCACGAGAAAAATTCCCTGACTGGAATATCCTCTGCTGGGTTCCTTCTGCCGCACAACTGGCTCTTCAGTGAAATGGGGACACCCATCAGGCCCTCAGGGCTAATTTGGAAGACACAGCGGTAGTGGCAGAGCTATGGAGCCGTGCATCTTACCCCCAGTGGGTCTGTAGAGATGGGCATGGAAGGATCTGCAGGGTTGGATCCCAGCCCAAGAGTTTAAAATGCCCTTACTACAGTGAAAACGCATTCATGTGTGACTTGATTACTTTCTTTAAAAAAGTCATTATGACATTTCAAGACAGGGCAGCTTCCAGTCCAGGAGAGGCATAGGCCGGCTCTTCAGATGATGGGAATCGAATTCCTATTTTTCTTTTAATCATGGAGGCAATGATCAAACAATTAAGCTGACAAGTTGAGGCAAAGAGATATGGGAGGAAAACAAACCATACAACTATAAACTGGAAAATTAGTTCACAAGGAGCAGGAAAAAAACTAGTGACTTTAGGGATTGACACCTAGATTTTTAGTATCACTAGAAATAATATTCGAGGGGAATAAACAGCTCTAATCTTTAATCTAATCAGCCAGTCTACTCATTAATGTTTATCTTTTCTATGTTTACAGGTTGAAGCACATTTAATTAGTCCTCACAACAAACCTTCAGTGTCATTATTATTAGGCCTAATTTACAGATGAAGAAACCAAGGTTCAGAGCTCATCTAAATTCAGACCCATCAGACAACAAAACAAGCCCTGAACTTTGTATGTGAGGGACATAAACATGTGTAACACAAAGTTATGCCTTTGATGGTTTGCAATCTGAATCAGAATAAACAACATTAAGGGCTGATCTTGATCAAAGAAATCTACGTACAGGAGACAGGACTTGAGTTGGGCTTTGGAAGTTGTGCAATAATCACTTTCAGGAAAAGACACAAGAACATTTTGAGAGCGATCTGGTTTGTTTCTTTTTAAACAGTTAGTACCAGAATGGGGATTTGAACTCTGCCATTACTCATCACAACTTAATTTGCACTCTGTGTTTTTTTAAAAATAGACTTTTTTTAGAGCAGTCTTAGGGTAACAGCAATATTGAGCAGAAAATACAGAGATTTTCCATATACCTCCTTCCTGACAGATGCATAGCTTCCCCCATTATCAACATCCCCCACCAGAGCAGTGTATTTGTTACAACTGATGAACCTGCACTGACACATCATTATCACCCAAAGTCCATGGTTTTCATTAGGTTCACTCTTCATGCTATACACCCTCTGGGTTTGGACAAATTTTAAATAACATGTATCCACCATTGTAGTAGTTCTGCTGCCCACCACAGAATAGTTTCACTGCCCTAAAAATCCTCTGCTCTCCGCCTATTCCTTCCTCTCCCCTGTTCCCTAACAACCACTGACCTTTTTTTACTATCTCTGTACTTTTGCCTTTTCCAAAATGCCATATAGTTGGAGTCAGACATCATGTAGCTTTTTTAAACTGGCTTCTTTCACTAAATAGTATGCACTTAATAATATGCATTTATTTCCTCCATATCTTTTCATGGCTTAATAGCTCATTTCTCCCTTTTACTGCAGAATAATACTCTATTGACTGGATGTACCACAGTTCTTTTATCCACTCATCTACTGAAGGACATCTTGGTTGCTTCCAAGTTTTGGCCATAATGAATAAAGCTTCTATAAAGATCCATATGCAGCTTTTGTGTGGACATAAGTTTTCAACTCCTTTGGTATTAAATACCAAGTAGAGAAATTGCTAGAGTATATGGTAAAAGCATGTTTAGTTTCTTTAATTAAGAAATCACTGAGCTGTCTTCCAAAGTGGCTATTCCATTTTGCATTCATACCAGCGATGCATTCACACCAGAGTTCTTGTTGCTCTGTATTCTTGTCTGCATTTGGTGGTGTCAGTAATTCTGGATTTTGACCATTCTAATAGGTGTGTAGTGGTATCTCATTGTTTTAACCTGTCTTTTCCTGATGACATATGTGGAGCACCTTTTCATATGCTTGTTTGCCATATGTATATCTTCTTTGGGAGGTGTCTGGTAAGGTCTTTTGCCCATTTTCAATTAGGTTGTTTGTTTTCTTATTGTTGAGTTCTTTTTCCTGCTACTTGTGAACTAATCTTCCAGTTTATAGTTGTATGGTTTGTTTTCCTCCCACATCTCTTTCCCTCAACTTGTCAGCTTAATTGTTTGGTCATTGCCTCCGTGATTAAAAGAAAAATAGGAATTCGATTCCCATCATCTGAAGAGCCGGCCTATGCCTCTCCTGGACTGGGACTGCCCTGTCTTGAAATGTCATAATGACTTTTTTAAAGAAAGTAATCAAGTCACACATGAATGCGTTTTCACTGTAGTGAAAAACAAGAGTTCTTTGTGTATTTTGGGCAACTGTCCTTTATCAGATATGTCTTTTGCAAATGTTTTCTCCCAGTCTGTGGTTTGTCTTCTCATTCTCTTGACATGTCTTTCACAGAGCAGAAATTTTTTATTTTAAAAAAGTACAGTTTAGCAATTCTTTCTTTCATGGATCATGCCTTTGGTGTATATATAGAAAGTCATGGCCAAACCCAGAGTCATCTAGATTTCCTCCTGGGTTATCCTCTAGCAGTTTTATATTTTTGCATTTTACAGATAGGTCTGTGAACATTTGAGTTAATTTTTGTGAAGGGAGAAGGTCTGTGTCTAGATTCATTTTTTTGCATGTGGACAGGCAGTTGTTCCAGCACCATCTGTTGAAAGACTGTCTTTGCCCCATTGAATTGCCTTTGCTCCTTTGTCAAAGAGCAGTTGACTGTATTTATGTGAGTCTAATTCTGGGCTCTCTATTTTGTTCAATTGATCTTTCTGTCTGTTCTTTTGCCAGTACTTGATTACTGTAGCTTTATAGTAAGTCTTGAAGTCCACAATTTTATCATTTCAAGAAAGTTATATAAATGGGTAAAGAATCTGAATAGACATTTCTCCAAAGAAAACGTGCAATAAGCTCAACATCATTAGCCATCAGGGAAATGCAAAGCAAAACCACATGAGATACCACTTCACACCTGCAAGGATGGCTATCATCAAAAAGGCAGCGTTGGCAAGGATGTTAAGAAACTGGAGCTCTCACACTGCTGATGGGAAAGTACAATGAAGCAGCTGCTTTGAAAAACAAACTGGCAGATTTTCAAAAGATTAAACAGAGTTATCATATGACCCAACAATGCCACTCCTAGGTATATACACAAGAGATATGAAAACCTACGCTTACACCAAAATTTGTACAAGTGTTCACAGCAGCTTTATTGGCAATAATCAAAAACTGGAAATAACCCAAATGTCTATTAACAGATAAATATATAAATAAATTATGGTATATCCATACAATGCAATGCTACCCTCAGTAAAAAAGGAATGAACTATTAATATGTAAATTGGCATGTGTTAATTTCAAAATAATTATGCTGAGTAAAAGAAGGCAGTTCAAAGAAAGGGCACATGCATACTATATGATTTCATATATATATGTATATATAAAACTCTAAAAAATGCAAACTAATCTACAGTGACAGAAAATAGGTCAATGGTTGCTTGGGGAATGGGTAAGGGAGTGAGTGGGAGGGAGGAGGGGATGAAGAGGATGACAGATGCGTTCATCACCTTGATTGTGGTGATGATTTCACAGGTGTATACGTATGCCCAAACTTACCAAATGGTATACCTTAAATACATGTGGTTTATCATGTTTCAATTATATCTCAATAAAGTATTTTCTAAACACACCTGTAGTCATACCAAATTCCTCTTCCTCCATGTTCTCATGGTCTTTGTACATGTTTCGCTTTGGCCACTGCAAATCAGAATGTCTTTGCTTTCTCCGCTTCACACCATTTCAATGATTAATTCTTAAATTATCATTCATTATCATTTTTTCTTTGGTTCTATATGAACATTTACACTAAAGTGTTAGATACAGGTGGAAATACTGTATGTCTTGATGAATTGGCCCAGTGAACACACCCCATAAGACCTTGTTTTGAAAACAAAGATCTGTGTTTCTCAAGAGTGGTGTTTTGGGTAGGACACTTCACTGAGCACCATCAAAGATAAACTCCGCCAGGCATTAGGTAAGTGGTGAAAACAGATTTTATTCAGGAACTGCTGACAGTAGGGGAAAGAGCTGAGCACCGTTCCGATTTGGGCTGAGGCGGCAGGGTGTGTTAAAGGGAGAATGAAGGGTGAGGGAGGGGGCAGGATGAGCAGAGTCAGGGAAATAAGAAATCACCCAGACCTGGAAAAGCGTGTTAGTCCGTGTGAGCACCATCTGGGCTTGTTAAGTGGTGCATACTGAAGATTACTTCCTACCCTCCCGCAGAGACCGGAAGACAGATGCCCTGTCTTCAGGTTTTTACTGAAACTCACAGTAAATGCTTCAGGCAGCCTAGCGTTCTCTCAGGCCGGCACTGTAGGCAGGCAGGGTCAGCCTGAGGATGCAGCCTTGAGCCTGAAGGAACTGTTAGTGTCAGTTCAAGGCTTTACTGCCAAGGCTGAGGCCAAGCTGAGAAGTGGGCTTGGAGGAGGCTGGCTAGAGTTTGGAAAGAAAGAAAAACCTGTGCAAAGACCTGGAGGCATCTAACAGCCTTCTGTTTTCAGAGAACTGAGGTAAGAGCCCTGGTGAGAGGAGGCAGATGAGGAAAGTAGGAAGGAAGGAGTCTGATTCTGAAGAGTCTTTTGTCTCAGACACATTCTTAGCTGCAAATTACGAAGACCACTATAACCAGTTCAAGTAGAAAAGGAATTTATTAAATTGGGATCATTGTATATTTTGGGGTGCTATTCTGAATTAAGCCTGGACAACAGATGTGAAGGAAAAATACATGGAGTCTTTAATACTAGGGCACCCCCAGAAGCTGGGGAATTGAGAGCAGCTGGCACCCAGGCAGGCAGTGGTGCAGCCCTGCAGCCTAGATGGGGACCAGACTCTCCACCAGAACCTGTGCCCCTGCTGCCCAGAAGCTAGATGTCTCAGCCACCACCCTTGATGGCATTACCAGTTTCTGAAACTGGGCGCCTCTGACTGGTGGGTCCTACGGCACACACCTGCTGCCAAGTGAAGGAAGTCTAGGAAAGTAAATGCCTGACGCCACCACCTACTTGCTGTGTGGCTTTGGGCAAATTACTTAACTTCCTGAACTGCCATCTCCTCGTGTATAACAGGGCAATGGTAACAACACTCTCCACCTTTAGAGTTGGTGTGATGCTTACATGAGATGATACATGTAAATTGCTTAGAGCAGTGCCTGGCATGGAATAAAACTATGCAAGCATTTGCTATCACTACTGTTATTCCTTAGAGAGGTGGAATTGAGAAGATACATTCTCTCAAATAAAAGTGTTTTGAAGGGGCCTAAAAGAATGACAAATATCCACTACACTTCAATTCAGTGCTGAAGAGTATAACAAAAATGAATTACTTCACTGATGTATTCATTCAATAAATTGGCAGGGTCCCTGGGGCTCAAGACACAAATAATGCTTTATCTTTTTATTTGCATAAATCAATACAGCTAGAGCCCCACCCATCAAAGTTGATAAAAAGCTCAATATCAATTTTCTTTGGGGAGGAGAGTCCTTCCCCCTCCTTTGTTTTAACAAGAGCCCCAGAAAACTGTGGGGTTGGGTTGCTGGTCCTCTCTTCGGGGTGGCTGCTGCTGTGGGGCTCTGTGGGGTCCACAGGCCTGTGCAGGCCACTTGCAAGGGGAATCCTGTCTGGAAGCTTATCTCCATCAGTATCAAGCTTAGTATTAGGAGACCTGCACTGGGCTTTGCAAATCCATGGTTTGGGGAGGTTCCTGCTCAATGTGCACAGGCAGCCGCACCTTCCAGGGGCAGGCTCTCCAAGGCTTTGCCAGCTGCATGGCCCAGCCCCAGAGCCACACTCAGAACCTGCACCAACCACCGATCTTCCGTCTGCCCCCTTTCCCGGCACCTGTTCCTGACAGTGGGCATGGGTGTGTGGGACTGGAGGGAAATCAAAGAGAGATAAAAGCAAGCAAGCCGAAGCCCCTCCACCCCCATTCAACCCCTGCCAGGACCTCAACCCAAGAGGCACCTTGCCCAGTTCCTGAAGAAAGGACTTTGAACTGGACTTGGCAGAGAAAATGATACCTGAAGCAACTGAATATTCCCTTGAAATTACACTATTTTAATAGCTAGATGTGGCTGAAAAGGTTTTGAACCAGAGATGTCACTAAATTCCTTCCTACACAGGTAGGAAAGGATTTGGCTGAGCAAAGTAGATAGCTGGGAAAAACAAAATCCAATTATACTTCAGTGGGTTGAGACTTCTCCAATGACCAGTTACAGTTATTAACTACCCCCTGGAGGGTAAAGATAGCCCAGACCTTCAGGTCTCAGAGGCCCAGCTACCCTGTTGGCAGGGGAGGAAATGTGGTTCATTCCTTTGTGATGAATCCAATATTGAAAAGGAAAAAAAACCACACATTTTTTCTCAATAGGTTATCCCACCTATCCTACCACATGCCTAATCACGGGAGTCTGGACTTTCTCCTATTGG